CCAATGTCACGGCCTGGCCTGGCTTGGGGGGGGGGGGGGGGGCTCAGGCTCTTCAGGGAAGGCTCCCCAAAGCAGGGGGGGACGCCAAGGCGGCCGAACTGGTGTCCGGGAGTCTGTTCTCGGGGGTCTCCTGTGAGGAGGCGGCATCAGTGGTAGCAGCGGCGGCGGCCGCCATGCTAGCCTGCCGCTGAGCCAGGACAACGCTCGAGTGCCTGCATTTTGCTGAGTCGCAGAGACAGCTGAAGTATTTGGCTTTAATGTTCCAGAATCGCTCGCCATAGTCAAACCTGCGGAAAAAGGAATGGGGAGTGAGTGATCACCGACCAAAGATCGCTTGCGTGTGTTTTGTTTAGGGGAGGAATTGCTTTTCGTGTCTTTTCTTCACACCCTTATTTTTCCCTTCTTTTCTGCACTGTTTTTCTTTAAAGGAGAAGGTGAAGGTGCTCGTCGTTTCTGGCTCCAGGGGGCGCTGCTCATCTCCGTCGCACCTTTTCTTCCCAAACGGTTAAATGAGCCCCTGGAGTCCTTCAGGGAAGCCGCCCGGTAGGTGAAGCGCAATCTGGCTGCCCCGTCGACTTGGCTTGTTGGAAGGTCGCAAAAAGGGGATGGCATCTTAAACACACACACACACACACGGGACACTGCGACCGTCATGAATGTAAGTCGCAGGAAGCTGGAACAGTCGTGTGAAAAATGGCCCTAAGTCATTTTTTTCAGTACCATTGTGACTTTGAATGGTCGCTAAGCGAACTATTGTACGCCAAGGACGACCTGTACGGAAACTGGGGGCGACTCACTTAACAATGGCCTTGCTCCTCCCTGGGAGGACGTAAGCTGAGGACTAGCAATGCAAGCTCCTCCTTTGCGAAGCGGTGGGAGAACAGGCGTGCCGGGATACAGGCAGATCCCTCCGGACCCCGCGGGGGCCTTAAGATGCCGCCATTCCCAAGAGGGAAATCGGGAAGGGGGCTGAACAAGCGTTTTTCCCCCCCTCTCCTTCCCGCCTCCATTGACCTGGGGCAGAGCGCCCCCCCCCCCCCGTACCCGATTTCCTCCCCCGCCTCTATGGGTCTGCTGCTGAAGAAGGCGATTCTGGGGAAGCGCAGGTCCTGGTGGGACATGAAGACTCGCACGGCGATGAGGTTGGGCTCACAGAAGTGGTTGATGAAGCGGCTGATGTTGCCGTAGAAGCGAGCGTCGATGCAGTAGACGTCCCGGTCCTGGAGAAGAGAAAACGGGAGGAGTGTTACCCTGGGAGGGGGAGGGAGGAGGAGGGGGAGGCTTTGAAACGCCTGGCACCGTGGCCGGATTTAAGGGTGATCCGATCTGGATCCTGATGCACCAGGAGATAGAAGAATAGGATAATAAGTGACAGGAAGGAAGGAAGGAATTACTCAACCAAAGCCAACCAGAAGTCTGATATGGAATTTCTCTGAGCAGAAACCACCCAAGCTAATGGCAAAGGAAGAGGGGGGGAAGGCAGGGGTAAGGGGTAGTAGTAAGTAGGAGGAGGAGGAGACGCAGAAGGATACAGAGGTGGAGGAGGAGGAAGAAAGGAGAAAAAGGAGGAGGAGGAGGGGGGAAGAGGAGAGGAGGAGGAATGGCTGGCACTCCCACCAGGTCAAACCTCCCATTTCTGATTGCTGCAGTTATTCACTTACACCTCCTCCACTTGGTAGCAATTTGTCTGAATGAGTTTGCGACACAATCAAAGCAACGAAGATCAAACGGCAGTTTAGTGTTTCTACCATGAAACAGCAGGCAGTGTCGTATTTAGAACCTGCTGATTGTCCCAGAGTTTCTCTCCCTCTTTCTCCCTCCTCTGCTTTGATGCAGGTAAACAGTCTGAAAATGTGAAACTCTGTTTTTACCTTCTCAATAGAACTGGATTCTTTTTCCTGGCCAGCCTAAAATTCCCCTGGTTCCCATTAACTTATTTTTATTTTATGCCCCGAGTTTCCTCGGGGCAGCGTAAAACACGCTCTCTCCTCCAATTTTTCTCCATCACGTTAATTCTCCGGGTTATCCTGGAGTGAGAATAATTGACCCCCAAGCTCCCCAGAAAATTTCCATTATCCAGGAGGGATAATCTCCTGAAAGAAAGAAGCCATCCTATTCTACACCATATATGCTGCTTCCATGTGTTGGGGCTGAAGCAGTCTATACATTTTATAAAATAACGAACAATAATTGCAAAAGAGAGCTTCACTTGGACATCCTGTGACGATACCTTAAATGCCATCAAGGAACACCACCCGTCTATCCAGGTTCTTAGGAAGGACTCGACAGGTGGACCGAAATGCCAAATCCAGGCTAAACATCTGGCTGGCTAAGAGAATATTTGCAGCTCAGGATTGAACGGTGGGGTCCTTATTGCTTCTCTGGGCTCGGTTGTTTTCCTGCAGACGTTTCATAACCCAACTAGGTAACATCATCAGTGCAAGAAGAATATTGCAAGAATCTCATTCCCTTCTAGAGACAGCAAACCCCTAACTCCCTTCCAGCACTGATGATGTTATCTAGTTTGGATCATGAAACGTCTGCAGGAAAACAATCCAGCTCTGAGAGCACCAAGGACCCCTCCTTCCAACTCTTGAGCTGCAAATCTTCTCTTCTATTGAGAGAGATCCCTGTGTTTTTCCTTCGATTAAAAGCTCAACGGGAACCGGCATAGACCTATTGAATGCAGTCCTCTTTATCTTCCAAAACCAGGAGGGCCCAAGACCATGTTTGCAGTTGGTCAGAGTCATCGGACAATCCAGCCCTGCTCCGAGAAGGTGCTTCACTTCTTCCCTTGATCAAGGTTTGTCTTGTCTGCTTCCCGGTTCCCATTCAAGCAGCCTGGGAAAGAGGTTGGTCTCTCAACCCCATTAACCGAGGCTCTTGGAGCTTGCCTGCCCCTTAAAAGGTGAAAAGAGCTTCACACGCCGGTTCCAAGATCGTGTTCTGCTCGGTGGGGTGGAAGAGGGGAGGGTGGCCGAGAATTCGTTTTAGCACCTCTACTCGCCCTTGAAATCCTTCGCAATTAAAAAAACAGAAACCCCACCCCCCCCCCCCCCTTTCGCCCACGCCGAAAAGACACCAACCCCCCCCCCAAACGCTGGCCCCCGCGTCAGAAATCAGCCCTCCGACGTATCCGCAGGAACACAACCCCCCCCCCCCCCACCAAAAGTCTGTATAACGTGCAGAATCCAATGCGTGATTTTTTTTTACAGAGGAACGCAGCGTCTCCCAATCTTGGCAACGCTTGTGGATTTCAACTCCCCAAATTCTCAGAAAGGGCTGGGGAGGATCCAGGGAGGGAACGACGTCTGTAAGCTGCCGAGATGAGCTTTTCCACATGGTAGCTGGGTGACCAAACCCACGTTATCTATGGAGGAGATTCTCAATCATCCAGGTCATGTTTCTCACCAGAGGCAACTGGACTTCCAAGTGGCCTCAACGCCACGCTAAAATGACCAGCTGTCTGCAAGGAATATAAATCCTTCCCTTCCCCACCATCCAGTCAGAGCTGAAGAAGCTTCTTGGACAAGAAGCGAAACGCCTTCAAAGAAAACCCAGGAAGTCCAGTTGCCTCTTGGAAAAGCACCTTTGGGACAACCAGGACCTGGAGGACTGAGAATCTCCATGAACTTTTAACTATGCATTTTGGGATGAACACCCCTCAAATGGTGTGGGAATAGGAGTGGATTTCCAGAGAAAAAAATAATAATTGCAGACTACGGGAGCATTCTTGTATTAGGGAAAATAACTTATGAAGATTAAGGGTCATTGTCCCAACTGTTTTTCTTTGAAGAAGCTTCGCTTCTCATCCAAGAAGCTTCTTCAGTTCTGATTAGTTCTGGCTTTCTTGGTTTTTCCTGGGAAATGGGGCAAAACTCACTTAACAACTGTCTCGCTTAGTGAAGGAAGTGTTGTGTCAGCTGTGGCCGTATGTTGAGGTGGGTCTACCTGTATTGAGGTATCTGTCTCGTGCATTCAGCCAAGGCTTTTTAAATCAGGACACCCATCAATCAAACCATTGAAATTAGCCCCCTGTCGTATTGCCAAGCCAGGGTTGGACCATTCTTTCCAGAGATCTACACTGTTTACACACACAAAAAGGCTTTGAAATCCGGCTGAAAACTGTCCAGGCAGCCAACCCCGGTCTATCTGGGTGAAGCCCAAGGAAGAGAGCCAAAAGGCATCAATCTATCGACTGCTTGGCTTGAGACACCGACATGTTGGGAAAGGAGCCGCTGAAGGGACCAATCAGGAGGAGTTGAGGAAGAGCCCGTGTGTTGCACATGGCCTAAGACAGCTGATTCTCCTAGGAGAGTCCGGACGGAGGGAGAAATCCACCCTCTGTTGTGGCCGGCCAGCGGTCAGCGGAGCTGGCAGCAGACTCGGACAGTGAGGAGGTTGGGGAGGAACATGGGCCAGTCCTGGAGTCTGGGGAAGGCTCTGACGAGGGCTCTGCGTTGGAGGCAGAGATGGGGCCAGGGCTGTCCAACAATTATCAGCTGCCTTTGGAGATCAGTGGGGCAGAAGAACAGCTGGAGCCTGTTCCCAGTGTGCGCATGCACAGAACTGCCAGGAGAAGGGAACAGCTAAGGAACAAGGGTCAATTCGGGAGTAAAGCCACAGGTGACCGTGAATGGCCCCTCCCAGAGGGAATAAAAGAGGAGCGAAAGGGGAGTGGGCTTTGCAGGAGACAATTAGTTCAAGACATGAGGGTGAAGATCTGTTCCTGACTTCTTGCCAAGTAATTGCTGCTACAGAGTGGCGTATAGTTGTGAAAGGTCTATAATTGTGAAATCGCTTGACAGACTTTGCTGGAGAGGAATTCACTGTAACCTAAATAAAAGGGGTTTTGTTGGTACGAGAAGTCGGGTTCGTGCTTTTGGGGAGCCTGTGTGTCACACTTGGCCTCAGACAGCTGGTTCTCCTAGGAGAGTCCGGACGGAGGGAGGAATCCCCCCTCCAACCTCAGGCCCTCGCTCTCTCGCCCCTGGAGGCACTCACTCGCACACAAAGGTCCCCAGCGGAATGTCTTGCATCGTCCTCACACCCCAGCCCATCTTCCTCGTCCGGAAAAGTTGCAACCTTGTCCTGGAAAAGAGCAGAGAAGCAGCCCCGTCAAGCTCCACCAGCCCCTCCGCCCGTGAGTTGGATTTCTACAGAGGAGGTTTCCAACCAAAGATGAAACGGGGTTAATTTATAGAAGAGTCAGGTCCGTGGCTCTCCCAGGTCATGGTTTACAAGTTTCAAAGAACATAGAAGGACAAGGATGGAAGGGACCTTGGAGGTCTTCTAGTCCAACCCCCTGCTCAAGCAGG